TTTTTCAAGAGTTTTCTAGTTTTTTGTCAATTTTTCTTCCAGATACATCGGAAAATTTGAAAAAACAGTGAAAACGAGCGAAAAAATTTTAAAAGTTTGAATTCGCGCGCTTTTACTCACCGGGCGGCCTAGAAAAAAGCTCGTCCCTAAGGGGTTTCAGCGTATTTTTATATGCGTTTTTCTCGCCGAAAAATTTTTTTTAATTTTTTCTTTATTTTTATGTCAATCTACATGCATTTCTGCACATTTTGATGCAATAAAAAATTTCACCGTACACCACCTTTAATCCAATTTATCTCATTTCCTGTGGAAGATATCAAAAAATGGTCAACTAACAAAGTTTTTATGATGATATCACTAACATTTTATTGGTTGAAAAAATTTTGATATCTTTCACAGTAACCGAGATAAATTGGCTCAAAGTCGAAAAGTCGGCGTTAGCCCGCTGAGCTGCGCGGGCGGCTGCGGACTTCTTAACTTTGAATCGATTCAACTCATTTCCAGTAGGAGCCAAACCTACAAAATGTTTATTATAATATTAAAAATATTTTGTCAGTTGACTACTTTTTTCTAACTTTCACAGGAACCGAGATAAAATGCCTTAATTCGGCGCTTGCCGGCTGAGCTACGCGATCGGCTGCCGACATCTTAACTTTAACCCAATTTATCTCATTTTCTGTAGGAGCTATCAAAAAGTGGTCAACTGACAAAATGCCCATCATAAAATAAGTAATATTTTGTCAGTTGACCGCTTCTTTCAAACTGTTGAGTCCTTAGGATCCGGCATTCAGGCCGGTTCAAGGAACACGAATAGTAGTTATTAGAATACTAGTTTATTCAATTACTAGAAAGTACAGAATATATGGGGATAGCTAGAGATGGTTGGGGAGAGACTAGGACAGACTGAGAATGGTTGTCAGCCCCAAAGAATGAAATGTTCTGAACAATGAAACAACTAAGAAGAAGAGTGCCAGAGAAGGGCGCTTAGGTTGGTAGATCCCAAATAATTTGGTAGATCAAATATAAAACTAATGGAAGTATGCATAGAATGCGCCACAAACTTTCACGGGAACCGAGATAGCTTAGGTCAAAGTCACATTGACCTTACTTTTTCTCTCTCTCTCTCTCTCTCTCTCTCTCTCTCTTCCTTTTTTCCTGCAAAAAGCCTCTTGCCACGTCATTCACTTATGCATCAGCGCATACACAAGCGCCCCCCCCCCCCCCCTACCTTCTTTTTCCTTGTTCCCCTTTTTTCCCCTTGCAAAGAAAACCCGACCAAAAAAAACCTTGCTTACTTGTTCCTCTAGAGGGTCAGGTTTTTTCTTGTTGGTTTTGGAATACCGACAAGTGAGTCATCAACTTTTTTCGAGGCTTTTTTATCACGTCGTTTATAGTCCAGATTTCTAGATTCTACCAGATGCTCATTTTTATCTCTTTTCACACAGCTGTAAGGACTCGAAAAAAATTACGTCATTCGAGAAACAGCGCCTGTTCATCTTTTTGTTTCTCATGGAGTAGATGAAAGAAAGAAAGAAATAAACAAAAAAGATAAGGAACAAATAGGGATTTTTTGGTTCTGTACTTCCGGACAAACTTGACCATTCTTAACTACCTTAAACACTCTAATAGGAAGACCCCCAAACTGTAAAATTTCAGCCCGTATATCTTATTTCCTGTAATAGATATCAAAAAGTGGTCAACTGACAAAATGTTCATCATAATATCACAAACATTTTACTAGTTCAGTACTTTTCGATACCTTTGAGAAGAATCAAGATAAATTGACTCAAAGTTGACGGTTTGGGTGGGCTTCTATTAGAATGATTACGGTACATTTGGCCTCTTGAAACCTATTTATATCAGCTGCTATAAAAGGTTACAAACCTTTTTTCAAATTGAAAATTTGATGGAATTCTAAAAAATTACATAGTGCGCTCCACCGCACAGTTTCCATTGTAATAGATTTCAGGGAAAAATCCCTGAAATTAAAACGACAAACTGTTTATTTCCAAAATGATGATGCAATGTCATTAATTACCATCTTTCTAGATTCTGAATCAAGATAATTTCTGGCAGAAAACAAAGTTCCATTCTCTGAAGTTTTTTTTTCTCATCTTACTCAATTTAGCGCAAAACATTAGGAAGACGATTCTGTCAGCGTTTCAAAGAAGATTTTATCTCAAAAAGGCTATAAAAGTGTTCATTGTCTAAGACAATACTTTTAGAATATAATACAAAAACGTTGTAAAGGTTGAGTTTTAGAAAATCTATGAAATTGGAATCCAAACTTCTGTAATAGATTACCGTAAAATCTGTAATGGAAGAGCCCCCTAACTTTGAGCCAATTTATCTCGGTTCTTGTGAAAGATATCGAAAAGTTGTCAACTAATATATTGTTTATCATAATATTAAAAATTTTTGTCAGTTGACCGCTTTTTGATATCTTGCATGAGAACCGAGATAATAAAGTTGAAACATTACAGTGTGCGAGCCCTTCTATGACAGGTTCTACCGTGTCATCCTCTTCATTTTTTTTTGAGTTTTTCACAAATATTTTTCCTTCCC